CTTTCTGGCTCACCAAGGTGCCGATAGTGTTCATGGACCTCATGAATCGGGTGTGCAGGTCTATATTGGATCGATCTATGATTGTGTTCATCAATGATATCTTGGTGTATTCCAGATCCAGAGAGCGACATGAGGAACATCTAAGAGATATTCTTGGAGTGTTGAGATCGGAGAGACTTTATGCCAAATTCTCCAAGTGTGATTTGTGGTTGCGAGAGGTCCAGTTCCTAGGACACCTCGTTAATTAGAAAGGGATATTGGTCGACCTAGCCAAGATTGATGCAGTTATGAGATGGGAGGTGCCGAGATCCCCCGCTGAGATCAGGAGTTTTCTGAGATTGGCCAGATACTATCGGAGATTTATCAGATATTTCTCCAATATTGTCGTCCCCTCACCAGGTTGACCTGGAAGGGTGTCACTTTTATTTGGGGTCCCGAGCAGCAGGCTTGATTCGAGACTTTTTGCCAGAGATTGTGTGAAGCCCCGGTGTTAGCCCTTCGCGAGGGAGTAGAGGACTTTGTGGTATACTGCGATGCATCTATTTCAGGGATGGGTGTGGTGCTAATGTAGAAGGGGCATGTTATAGCATACACATCGAGGTAGGTAAAGCCTCACGAGATGATATATCCCTCCCATGATCTAGAGTTGGGGGTGGTGGTGTTCGCCCTCAAGATCTGGCATCAATATTTGTACGGGGTTCAGTGTACCATATACAAGGACCACAATAGCCTGAAGTATCTCATCGATCATCCCAACCTAAATATAAGACAAATGATGTGGTTGGATGTGGTGAAATACTATGACTGCGACATCCTGTATCATCCGAGCAAGGCGAATGTGGTAGCCGACGCCCTAAGTCGTAGAGCAGAGAGTTCGCCGATCTGAGATGTGTGTATGAGGATGACGGTGATGACTCCAGTCTTAGATACCATTCGAGAAGCCCAGGTGGAGGCCGTGAGACCAGAGAACCGCAAGAAGGAGCGGGTGATTGGCTAGGTGTCTTAGTTGTGTCGGATAGTTGAGGCATTATGACTTTCCGAGGGCGGATTTGGGTGCCCTATACGGGCGTAGCTCGGCGTACATTGATGGAGGAGGTGCATAGGTCGAGATTCTCGATCCTTCTTGGGGCCACTAAGAGGTATATGGACCTGAAGAGAGACTATTGGTGGCCCTGTATGATGAGGGATGTGTGGGTAGTTGAGAGATGCTTGATTTGTTGTTGGGTTAAGGCAGAGCACCAGTGTCTACATGGTCCATTACAACCTATGGAGATTCCCGAGTGGAAGTTGGAATAGATCTCTATGGACTTTATCACCAAGTTATCGAGGACTGCATGTGGAGTTTACGCTATTTAGGTAATTGTGGATCGACTGACGAAGAGTGCTCACTTCCACGCTATTAATGAGAGCTCCTCTACACTGAGACTGGCCGAGATCTATGTGAGAGAGGTGGTAGCACAACATGGAGTGCCGACCTCGATAGTGTCAGATTGAGACGTGCGTTTTATTTCCAGGTTTTGGAAGAAATATCATAAGGAGTTGGGCACGTGCTTGCATTTCAGTACTGTGTACCACCCACGGACGGATGGGCAGAGTGAGCGGATAATTCAAACGCTCGAGGACATGTTGCGTGCATGTGTTATGGACTTCGGAGGAAGTTGGGACACTTACTTACCCTGACTGAATTTTCTTATAACAACAACCATCATTTGAGTATTGGTATGCCTCCCTTTGAGCTTCTGTATGGGAGGAAGTTTCAGACTCCCATTTTTTGGGGAGAGGTAGGGCAGAGCGTGATGGGTGGGAATGAGATAGTGCTGAAGACGACTGAATAGATTCAGCAAGTCAGATAGAGGTTACTGACAGCCCAGAGTCGCCAGAAGAGTTATGAAGATCGGCGATGTTTCGAGCTAGAGTTCTAGGTTGGATACTTTGTCCTCCTTAAGGTATCCCCATGGAAAGGGGTGATCCGATTCATGAAACAGGGCAAGCTGGGGCCCCGATACATTGGTCCTTTGAGAGTGACCGCCAGGATGGGTAAGGTAACATTACGGTTGGAGCTACCTGCAGAGTTGAGTCAAATCCACAACACCTTCCAGTGTCTCATCCGAGGAAGTCTGTAGCCAATGAGACGACAGTGATGCCATAGAGGATACTCAGGTGGATGCGAGCCTGAATTATATTGAGAGGCTGATTGTGATCTTGGATTGAAAGGTGAAGGTTCTGAGGAATAAAGAGGTACCTCTGGCTTAGGTCCAGTGGAAACATTGGAGAGGGTCCGAGTTGACTTGGGAGTTGGAGTCTGAGATTCGAGACCAATACCCAGAGCTATTTACAGAGCATGACTTCGAAGGCAAAATCTGATTCTAGTGGGGGAGAATTGTAACATCCGGACTCCAAGGTATATTATCTATTTATTATTTTTGAGGACTATTGCGCAACTCGAAGAGTTGGTGCTACAACTCGTTGAATAGATTCGCGTTGTGCCACGAGGGATTAATAATCTACTCGACGAGTCAGGGAGATAACTCTCCGAGTATACGCTGTGAAGTGAAACCCTAAATCCTCGGTTTTGGGGCCTCTACAAGGTCACTTATAGCCTCATTCGTGGCTCATCAGCTGCTTAACCTTACTGTGTGAAACCCTAAATGAGTGTAGTGAACTAAGAGAGTCTCCAAGCTAATCTTGAAGGATTTTAGAGCATCTTTGAGGAGGAAGAGGAGTCTGTTCAGCAAGGAACAAGAAGGAGTTGTTTGGGTTCAGGCCATTTCGTCCAAAGCTTCAAGAGGAAGGTAAAAAGCTTGAATCTTTCCCCTTTTATTGGTTAGATCTCACGAGTTTGAGAAATTAGGGTTTTCATCACATTTTATTTGGGGCTTCGAACATACTAAGTTATCAAGAGGTTTAAAACCCAGATCTAGACCTTGTGTAGTCCCTAGACCCCAAAGGTCCCAACTTTATTCACACATGTGAGGAGTATGGTGTTTAACACCTTGGAAGAGCATGTATTGGTAGATTGGAGCAAAACTATGATGCATGAGCGTAAAGATTGAAGCTTTACGTGACAATCGAGCCTTAGGATGCTAAATCTATTGTTTGGAGTAATAGATCTACCTTAAAACGTCTGAATGAGAAATCAAATTGAAGGGACTCGCCGAGTCCATGAGCTGACTCGACGAGTCGGCTAGGGTTTGTCTCGATGAGATGGACCATGCGATAGCTCGGCAAGTTAGGGGTTAACTCGACGAGCTAGACCTTTACGAGACTTATGAGGAACGAGTGGACTTGACGAGTCGCATGAGTGCACTTGGCGAGGCAGGTCAAACGTGGACTGTAGACTCGAATTTGACTTCTATTAACTTTAGAGTTTGGTCACCATGAGTAATGGAGACCATGGAAGGGTAAAATGGTCTTTTACCCATTCCAAGAGTTAGAGAGAAGGACAGAACAACCCTTGGTGTATGTGAGTATGAGTAGAGTATTAATTAGAGATGATTATCCTACGTGTTAGGCGGAGGCTAGTTTTCAAGCTTTCCGAGAATAAGCCTTTTACTTTCTAGCTTACAAGGTGAGTGTTTTCACTATACATACCTAGAGTGGTAATATGAGTTGTGATTGACCGAAGGGTCTTATGTGTTTATTTGAGTATTGTGATATCCTGCATTGTGTGATTTATGCCATGTATTATTATGAGTCATTGAGTTAGGACCGCAGGGTCCATAGAGTTAGGACCAGAGGGTCCATCAGAGTTGTGGGACTGGAGGGTACCACTGAGACACATTGACTGGAGGTTCTTATAGAGTTATAGCCTTGAGTGGCTAATGAGTTGTATGTTGTATTTTGGGGAACTCACTAAGCTTCGTGCTTACCGTGTTATGTGTTATGTGTTTTACGTACTTCTCAGGATCACGGGAAGGCGCCAACTTAATTGTACACACATCAGAGATTTAGTTATGATTGATAGGATCATGGAGTTCTGATATATACGGTTTTTCATTTTGAGATTTGATGATTTGACTGGTTTCCAAAAAACTTCACTAGTTGGAGGCATTTGCATAATGTTTCGTTATGCCCGATTAAACATCGAAGAATTATGATTTTTTTTTAAAATCACTTTTTCTTCAACCCTCTGTCTTTTTCTTGTGTACACCCTTCCCCAACTTTAAGTCTTACATCGTCCTCGATGCATCAAAAGATAAATTCCAAAATAATAATAGAAAAAAACTACAAGCACACAAATAAAATAAAATATAAAATAAACTAAACTAACTACCCCCTAAATTTCGTCTGGTCCACGATTGCACTTGGCACGTGAAACAAGCCTTTTAAACCCTTAGGTTTCCCCTAGTGGACGAGTGAAGTCTCGTGAGGGTTTGTAGTGAACACACCCTCAAAGTTCCAAAATTGCCAAGTTTAACATCATTAGCGAGACAGGTTACCTCGACAATGACTATGGAGGCTAATATATTCGTGGACTTTTTTGAAAGTCAACCATGAGGTTTCTCACCTTACTTTAAGGAACTTGATCATGTGTAAAGCCTTTTTTGGCCTTGTGAAAATTAACTATTTTGCTTTTAATCCTTCCACAATGATGCTTAAACCTTGTTCTGAAGAGCCATGCATCTTTCCATCTAGTAAACTTCTTTAATCGATACTTCATATCATGTAACACTTTCATTTTTGATTTTTAAGAGTGTGTGTTATCATGTTTCTTATTACCTAATCTTCTTTTCTTGTGTTGACTCATGCAATCATTTAGTGCTTTTGACCTGTTACATGATAAATTTTTCTCCAAATTGTGGGTGGTGCCATAGAGCATATTTGTTGTATGCTCATAAACACAATCATCGATAGTGTTGATCACAAATAGTTCACCACTGATTGGAGGATCATTAGTAGGTCCAAACAAAATAAATATTACTTAATGGTTTCCATATGTCACATTTATCGCACCTTCTTGACAGCTTATATGGGCATATATAGTTGCCAAGAGGGGATGATCAATGATGACATTTGGTTGTTTGTATGTGTTTAGTTTTTTTTGAATCCATCATATCAAGAAGTTGCGGTTCAGGTTTTTTAAAAGTTGTTGGGTAAGACGTGATACCAGCCTCCACGGACCCTTCCCCAACTTTGGATGCTTCTAAAAGATGAAACTCTTCATTATAATTTTCCAATTCAGTTACAGCTTGTTTGCTTTCTAACATACTCTCAGTCTCCTGGTCATCTAAAGATACATAATCCTCCATGACAAGCTCTAGTTCGGGTGGTGTGGATTTATGCACAATTTTATCACTACAGAGAAAACTTACCTCATTCCCTTGTGTAGAGTCTGAAATACTGTCTGAAGGTTGTTGGTTTAATTGTTCTGCTATATGTTCTAATTGTTTTTCAATAGCCGAAATTGACTTGGAGTTGTCTTCTTCTTTGTTGAAGGTTTCATTCAACATGTCCAACATTTGATCCAACTTCATGCTAAATGATGATTTTTCTGATTCTTCGTTGTCCGAGAAATAATATGGTTTATGGTGTTGGTTTTGAGTCGATTCGTCAGTCCACCTACAATCATCATCATATGGATCATTATATGGATAATCATTATATGACTGATTGTATGGATCAGTATTGTATTGATCTTGATGCGAATTTCCACTCTCCTACCACATATCTTGGTTAATATAAATGTATTCCTCCATTCACAACAGTCCCTACATAAAAACAGTAAAATAGTGAAGATTCTATACTAAAAATAAAACAAAATAAAATAAAACATAAAGACTACTTCAACACTATAGTTTAAGCGCATAATCTCCCCAGCAACGGCGCCAAACTTTGATCGAGGTAGTTGTCTCGGTAAAAAATAAACCTCACACACACTAGATAGCTAGGGTAAGTAAGGTTCGAATCCACGAGGAGGTTGTGTTCAAACTTCGTGTTAAAATAGTTAACGAAAAACTAATACTAGCAATTGTCACGAAAAAGATTTAAACAAAGATTAAACAAAAACTTGGAAATTTATTAATAAAAACGAAACTCTCAATGAGAAAGGCAAGGTACTCCCAATTCATTTATGGATAGTTTAGATTCACACACTTTCTTCCCTACAATCCTAGTTCAGTTACTTAAATGCATTTTGGGTTTATTATCTTGTAACACATAACTTTGGGCACACAATATTTTCATTCAACTAGTTGTCTTACTCCCTATGTCTAAATGGATTAGGAACAATTAGTGAATTAGCAATAAAGTGTCTTACAATTACCTATTACCATATTAAGTTTCAATATCATAAGTTAGAATAATATATGTTGATTCAATCACTTGTCTTCATTCATAAACCACTTGAACTTGGAACAAATGATGAATTAACAGTAGACTATCTTAAGTATGACATCAAACAAATTCATAAAACCCAATTTCAATTATCATTACCAAAGATCATCACATGAAGTAGAAAACAACAATTGAAATTAACTAAAATCAAGTAATAATAAAGTGTGTTCATCCAAAATACCTAACATCCCCGGGAGTAACCCTAACGGTTTAGTCTTCCATTAATTTCATAAAACAAATAATTTGGATGAAATAAATAAAATGCATAATGAAATCCAATAACAGCCTTTAAATCATGAAACAATTATAACCTAATGATTATCAAAGCTTGAAACAATAAAACCTTAAGGGATAAGTAAGGAAATTCTGATGTTGTAGTGGAGATGATGAATATCCTTGGTTGAACAATCTTCTAATGTTGAATCCTGATAAACTTGATGATTTCTCATCTTGAATCCGGATTGGAGTGATAAAAAAACGTGTTTGGAGAAGGTTTGAATGTGTTTGGAACCCTCCAAAACTGGGCAAAATCGCAGGGAAGAAGTTCAATTTTGATTATGGTTAAATCTCCTTGAAATAGGTGCTGAAAAACTGATTTTTGGAGTTGTTTTCTGCGTAGACGTCATAGTAGGCATCTGAGACGTCTTGTAGGGCGTCTGGGCGTCCTTCGTGGCATTTTACATGCTTTCTGTTGTCCTTGATTTGCACTTGAAAATGGCCTAAAACAGTTAGGCGTCCTAGGGGGCGTCTTAGACGCGTTATAGGACGTCTCACATATTTGTCGCTCCTTTTTGGTGATGAAAACAATAGAATCAGTAAAAACGCAAAACATGAAAGTTGTAGGAAATTTTGACTAGTTTCCAAAACTTCTTCCTTCATGTCAATAGGAACTCTAGATCTTGATATATGATCAAAACATTGAAGAGTGGTCAAATTTCTCAGCACCATTTTTCTTCATTCCTTTAGCAATTCGTCTCCCATGCTTGTTAACTTCAGTTTGCTTGTTTTTCTTGCGGGTTCCGCCCACTTTAGCACTAAGTATTTACATGCGTATAAAGTTCAACAACTCATCAAAGTAGTGCCATTATTGGACAATTATGCATCAATTCAACATATTTATAACAATTTAGTATATTCATAAAATAGACTTATCATTGACATTGTGACATTTTGAGATTTTGTTACTGTGATAAATGTGTTCCTTTTTAAATTGAAAATTTTAATTTGAAAATTTACGTCATTACATATTTCAGTTTTACGCTTGATGAATGTTTGATTTCTTATTCTTTTTAGGATGATCACCTAATTTAGTATTGAACCATTATAGTTAATCAGTTGTTGAAATCCATAACTGTTTTGATAAGCTAGTAATAAGTAACAAGTAACAGATCGGTTCCGTGTCGGGATTTCACTCTGTTATAAATTGAAATTTCATATTTTACACTTATGAGCTTGTGAGAAGTATTGGATATCTTTGAGAATTTTACATAGATCATAATGTTGCTTTTATAATTTGATTAAGAGCTTGTTCAATTAGGTTTGTAAAAAGTTAGGATTAAATGAATAGCTTGTTTCAGTTAATTGACTAGGTAATAGAGAACTTACTAAAACTTGTTAGTAGTTTTCAGTATCAGCTTAGATAGAACATGTCTTAGATAAACAAGTTTGTATTGATTGGATGATTAGGAACTCGCACCAGAACTGAATTTGCTTTTTATTACTGACTTTATTTATTTTATTTCACTACAATTTGTAGTTTAATTAATAAACAAAACCCATTTTTTAGATTTTATGTTATATGACTAGTATGTTCCTTACATAAAGATGCGCTAGATATTAGGTTGTGTTCATGAAGATTTGATTCTGCTTCCCTAAGCTACCCGTTAGTAGAACCAAACAGTGGAATTATTATTTGTTTAGCATGTCCGCGACAAAAATACTATATTATAATTAAGATTTTAATATTTAATATGAGATATTAATATTTATTAAAAGAAATTAATTAGTTAAGAAATAACATAATTTAAAATTTAATTATAATTATGGATTAAAATAAAATATTATTGTTTAAAGAGATGTGGTTGAAGTTATACTAAAAGAAATATTTAGTTCATGTCAAGAGGTTGAATTATTTAACCAAAATAACAATTATTTCCAGTAGTACAAAACTATGTTTTATAGGCATATATCGTGCCTAATTGAGCTTCATTTGGGAATACTGTCTTGTAGGAGGTCTTTATGTTCTGATGTGGTATTATATTATGAGAGACTCTTCGTTTGATTGTGGTTTCGAGTTATATTTGGTCGTTTAATGACAACTTTTGATCTTTCGTGCTTATTAAGTTTCTATGAAATTATTGATTGTTGTGTGTATAAATGAGATATCATCACCTTTTTGTTCATCATTTGAGTCTTTGTTATAATTATCTTGATTTATGTTCTTGAGTTTAATATGCATTATTTTTATCATTAAGAGTAGAAATTTTATTTTTGTTATGATCCACACAATTTTCAGCATATCATTCGTTGTTTGTTGTATTTAAAGGGAAACGAAGAAGATAATGGCTTAATGGAGTTCAAAAAAATTCATGTAGAGATCGTATATTTGAAGATATTCCTGGCACAGGAGGTAGTGATGAAGAAATCATAAAAACTTTATTTTTAGATTAACCTCAACAAGAAGTGTATAATGAATCACTTTGTCCAAAAATATTTTATCTTATATGCATGTATTAAAGTATTCAATGTTTATAAGTTATATATGAATTCTTTTAATATTTTAAGTCCTACAAATAGTTGGTTTTTGTTAGAATCATCAATTTTAATAAAGTTCATTTTTATCTCTAAATTATGTGTGTTTTGTTTACCAACTTAAACAAGGAGTTTAGAATGATCGATAAGTTAAATAAATATGTATCTTATATGTTTGGAAAGCTATTAATATGTAGTTTTTAATGAAATAATAAAAACACATTTGGAATTTCGTAGATGAGGTTATGATTTTTTTTCCACATGGTGTCCATTAGATAGAAAAACAACCAATTTTGACTAAGCTTTTTGATTTCTGAAATCTCTTCAAATCTCCAATACATATAATGATATTTGAAGTTTTTAAATAATTAATGAAGTCATTTAATATTTTAGGTCTAATAAATAGTCGGAGTTTTGTTTGGAACTCTCAATTTTAATAAAGTTTATTTTTCTCTCCAGATTGTGTGTGTTTATTTGAACCAACTTTAACGGGAAGTCAACAACGGCCCGTAAGTAAAAAATCATGTATTGTATATGTCTATAAAGCTATGGATGTAAAGATTCTAACGAAAAACAATAAAATATTTTAGAGTTTTATGGAAAAAGTTATAACGTTTTTGCCACAAGTTGTCGGGTGTACATAAATATATTTGATGGTCTTAATAAATATTTTTGGACCAACTTCTACGTGAAATTTGGAACGATCGATAAATTAAAAAAAAATCATGAATTCTAAATTCATGGAAAACTCTCGATGTGTAGACTTCAATAAGAAAACAAGAAGCATTTTCGGGGTTTTGTGAAGGAAGTTATAACGATTTGTCAAAGGTTGTTCACTGTACAAAAATACGTTTGGTGGTTTGAAAAAAAAAAATTTTTAGACCAACTTCAAGGTCAAGCCTGGAATGATCCAGAAGTTAAAAAAAAAAAAATCATGCATTATATATTTCTTGAAATCTTTAAATGTGTAGATTCCGGTGAAAAAACGGAAAGTGTTTTGGAGTTTTATGTAGGAAATTATGACATTTTTATCAAATATTATTCAATGTATAAATTTATGTTTGGTGGTATGGAAATATATATTAGGATCAACTTCAACATGAAATCTAGAACGATCCAAAAGTAAAAAAAAAATTATGTAATATATATGCATGGAAATATCATTATATGTAGATTCTATTAAAAAACAAAAAGTGTTTTGGAGTTTGTGGAGGAAGTTATGAAGTTTTTGCCAAAGGTTGTCCATTGTACAAAAAATGTTCAGTGATCTGAAAAAAAAAAAATGGACCAACTTCAACATGAAGTTTGAAATGATCCATAAATTAAAAAAAAAAACCATGTATTATATATGCTTGGAAAGCTAGATGTATAGATT